AATAGAATAACTTTTACAATTAATTAGTGTTTAATCGCTCTGTTGTCGTGGATGAAGATGACCGCGAAAGGTCAATCATTAGTACCTTGCTACGAGGGCATTACACTAAAATGTGTCCTTTAGACAATTTTTTCGTTAATTTGATTTTCTATTGCAAATTCGCAGCATTGAATGAATTGTAAAGGGCACTTACTGCTGTATCCTACTATTCCTTTATGCCAGAGTCCGACAGTACAGCGAAGTTTCCTTTGCTTTAGAAAGTCATTCGCGAAAATAACTAGTCTCTCACCTGCAGAACTGGTTCCATTTTATATTGTTCGCAATCATAATCTATCCTGTAGGTCGTGTTTTCCCATGAGTTTTCCTACTTATGAGCCTATTGTAGGGCCCTACAAAATCTCGAGCTCTTGCACACAGCTCATTCAGGCTGTTCATAGATTCCCCTTCTATTCCACCTTTATGTCTTTATCTATTTGCAGTGATTTAGACCTTGACGCCACTCCGGGTGGTCCGAATCAACCCGAGAATGACGTCATTACCCAGTGGGTGAACAGCTCCCTCTCTGGCATCTCTGTGCTCTTACCTCTACACTGCGTCTCGACCACTCGTAGCGGGAATCGCCGCTCCCGTTCAGGGCGGCTCGTGCTTTGCGCTCATTGCAATTCTCATTTCACTAGTTCTTCTGGATCGAACTTGATTAGCTGCTTTTTAACAGGCCCGTTCTACTATAACAATCTAACAAAACTTTCAAGATCAAGAGTGCTATTGTTTTGTGAAGACTCACACGAAACCTGCCGTCATTTCATTCGGCCTCATTGTCGAGCGAAATTCGCTTGGACTGCCCCATTGTCTCGTAGTGGTTCAGACTTTATAACAGCGGTGAACCTCCACTCTGCCTTCCATTGCTCTCTTTCGATAGATGATGTAGTTCCTCTCCGTTAGAACGCTTGATCTTTGCTTCCATTAGTTAAACTAATCCTTTTACATGATCTGCTGAAGAAAATATTCTTATTATAGATGGGTGATATGAGCGAGCATGAGGAGTGGATGGAAGAGCCGGCAGCACGGCGACCAGGTCGATCTCCAGCAGGTGCAGCTGGACCGTCTATTCAGGTATTAATCTTTCTATCAGCTCAGCTTAGCTTTTCCTTCACCCACGTGATCATCTGCTGAATTTTTCCGTTTTCCGAAACCCGGAAAAAAGACAGGCAGACGTTCCCTGTTTTTGTTTGATGCCTTTGTTAAGCGTGTGTAAAGATGTTGCATGGGACTTGTTCTCGTATTAAGCATATGTAGGTTATTTCCCCTTTTTTTCCGAATCAAAAGCATGGAATGAATAGCTTTCTCAAAGCAAACTTAAGAATTTAAGTCTTCAGAACGATCGTGGAGCTGAGGATATTTTGATAATGATCAGGTTTTGTTACATGTTTTCAACCTACTTCCATTTCCATCACTTTTCATTTCTTTAGTTTTGAGTTTGCGGGTATCACCCAAACTGTTTAATGACCTACTTACTTTGTGGGATTCGATGCGAAATTTATTACTTTCTTAATTCTTTTAGTGGTTGTTTTTCTTCCATTGTTATGACTTCCATGACTAACCTCGGTGTGAGAGACGTTAAGTTTTTATGAAAATTTCCCAAAAGTATTATTTGATGCTGTGTAGATGTAATGTTCTTAGCGTTCCTCCAACATCTGGATCGAAAACTGCTGTTTGAACAATAGGGCGTGGGCGCTCGTGTTACAGCGGAAATATTAGAAATTTCTGACTTTCCTTTTTTCAACTCCAAAATGACTTCTCCTGCTTTCATTCACTTTAAGATTCCCGCTGCATAATTGTCGTTGTACGTATGGGCGTTTTAATTTGCAGCAGATAGCATTTCAATATAATCAGTGTATATAAGTATCTAATAAACATGTAATATGAAAAAATATAAGGAGAATGCAAAAAAGTTATCAGGAGCTTAGAGAATGTCATCATCTTTTCAATGAAAAGTCTGATCAAAAACCAGTGGTAATTCTTATCGTCCAAAATAGAGGCCCTGTCATCGCTGCAAAAAAAGTCATTAATCATTTTGCTGTTTTATTTTTGCTGGTGAAAGAAGTAGTGATTGATCTGTACATGCCTGCACTTTTTGATATGTGCTGATACAAAATGGTCATTCGGTGTAGGCCCTTTCCTTCTTCTATTTGCCTCTGGTTGAACATTGTAAAGACTCGAAAAAGCTTAGGTTTTGAAATTGAAGTCTATAAAAGTTCGTTCCATTAGGGAATTGCTGAACGCATTTCAGTTTATTCACAGTCATAGCCTCAGTTGACGATGCTTTTGCTATGTTTTATGCCATATGTCACATGCTGGCTGTATTCTTTGTCAAGCAAGCTTCTCAACTTCAAGGAAACCCGCTGCAAAGGTCCCTGAGGGTATAAAATTCCAGAAAGAAGTACTGACGCATTTGACGTGAAATCGTTCGAAAGGCTTTTTGCAGGATTGCTCGTTCTTTGCCTTATGCTTACTGATGCTTTCTCATTGTTTGGTCCCTTTTTGTCATGGAACATCATTTGACTCTGTTTATAAAAGCCGATTTATTGTTTTTTACAAGTTTACAGTCTTTTTAGGGTTTTTGATTTATGTAAATTCCATGTAACCAATGCTTTTAGAAGCAAGTATGTAAAAGTGAAACGATTGTCTTTTATAAAAGCATTAAATGTAACGACAAAGTATAATGCTCATTCATTACCAATGGTCATAGAATGCCTTGTTTGTCAGATGCTGTCTTTTTGAAAACCAGTCCTGTCCGACTAGCGTCCCTCCCTTTTTTCAATTCATTCATGCCCTTTGATATAATTGCACTGAAGTAATGGTTAACAGTAGTCATACAATTCTCAGGGTTCTCGATCTCAAAACGCTAGCCCAATCCTTGGATCGCAAGGCCCAGCTCCAGCTGCCTCCTCGTACAGCTCTGGCCCACCGAAACGTCTTTTTGCCGGTACATCTTTTTTTAGCTTTATGCGCAGAAGCTCTGGTTTTCATCGTAAATAACTCTGCGATTTAAGGTTCATCTAATCTGTCTGGTGCAGTGGCCTCTAATGGCAATGGCGCATCGGCAGCAGGTGGAAGCGGCAATCAGCGTGGAGCGCCAACATCAGATTGCGGATCTGAGTATACTCGCTCACTTGACGACATTGCTGGTAACAGCCTTGCACGGTTAGGTGCGTAACACTTCTTTGGTTGATGTTCTACCATTTGAATGTGCGCCGACACATTATGGGAAACGGGTATGAAATAGGTATGAAATACGGGAAACGAATCATTCAAAAATTTCAATTCGGTTTTCACCTGTCATTTTTAGAGTACTATATATTTTCTACCAGAGGAAGTGGTTGAGCTTTCTCTCGATCAGGACTATCTCGTTGCCCGTCTTTCAGGACTTTTCTTTTTGTGGGCTCGATTTTTGAATTAAATTTCACTTCCACTTAGAAGTAGCACCCGTTGACAGTTTTTACGTAACCTTTCGTCGTAATCGTAAATCTTCTCTCATCTCTTCTTTATTTTGTTTTGATATCCTCCTTCTGATTCTCTTATAGGCGTTCATCGCAGCTGTTTCCCAATGTTTCCAATTTCATCTAGTAGCGAAAGTTTCATGATCCTCGTTTAAACTGGTGTTTCATTCAAGGTTAATCAGAAAATCAATCAATCATATCGAAAATCAGTTTAGCATTGTTTGAGTTGAATGAGTCAGTTGAATGAGATGGCTGGCTCACTGAATTTTTTTTTTCAAATTTCACGACCGCATGGACGTTTGTTGTGCATATGTCAACTGTAAGAATTTGTCCCGTTATTTCAGAGAATAAAACGGAAGGCTCTATCAAGTTGAACATACCGAATCTTTCCAATCTACGTGCGAAGGTCAACACATCGTTCCATCATATCGCCAATTTACCTTGGTTTGTTATCAGACGTTTTATATTCAATTCATTTGCTATTATTTTTCTTTTAATTCGCACAGGTTCTTTTTGTAATCGAGACGAATAGAGCCCTATTTTTTATTCAGTGATTGTTCATATTAAGCCGGTTCAAAGTCTTTCTTCATTCCATTCTAACATTGAGCTGTTGATGGAATCAGAAACGTGACGGTCTGTCAATCATAATGATAATGACATTTGGTCCTCATTTCTTCCGTCAAGCAGTTGAGTGGCAGCTTCTCGATACAAGTTGCAGTAAAAGTGCTGTTCTTCTGTGTTTATTGACGTTCAACGTCGACAGTGCTCATCATTTGGGAAACCGATGGCTTTGCTGTTTTTTATACTTATGGGTAGTCGACGATTTTGTTAGTTTTTGGGGGTCTGAGAGAAATCCCTTCAATCTTGTGTCAGCTGTTTCATGCATATTCTCTCCGGAGTCAGACTTGCCACAAAGAAATGAAATTCAACAGCTAAGGGCATGTCTGAATGGTTTCTTTCCTTATATCGAACACAGTGAAGAGTTGCTCATTGAAACTGTGAATGCACACGAATAGCATGAACTGATCGGCTTTTGCGATGGAATTCTCCCCTCTGGATCACTCAAAAGAATTTAAACACGGTCGAAGGATGACGACGCCAATGAATGATGTTACACGAAGGTGTAATAAAGATGGTATGAGGGATTTTAGAAGATCCAAACCCCGGCGTATAAAAGTTGGCAGGCTATGTTTGAATCTGAGAACGCGAATAGTGTCTCATATTGGAGAGGATTTTTCTCCAAGTCTCTTCTGGCTCAGTATCCAAGTCTATCAATTATTGTATGTGCAGAATTGATATATTTTTTAAAGATTGATAAGGTTCCCTTAAGCCGATACTTGGGGAAAAAGAATTTGATAGAGAAAGTTTGGTTCGATTCTTATTGTTACTTTTTTGAACATTTCTTGTTGGAAGGATGTTTTTCAGTAATGGAAGTTTTCCGTTTCAAGAGCGTCTAACCTCCTTGTAAAGTTCGGAGTGTTCTCAATGATGAATGCTTCAATGAAATGAACGTCTCAGCGGATTGCCCCTCTGCAAAATCTCAAGGGATCTCTTCAATATCCCCTTTTCGGAAGTCCAACAGTTCGCTCGATCGATGGGACTCCAATTCACTTTATTTGTTCAGTGGAACATAACAAATTGAAACTCTTGAGGGGCGAGAAGTTAAAAAAGTCTTCCTTTTATATTTTTATAAATCTCCTTTTTCCGAGGATTTCCATTGATCGGTCCACCTTTGAATTCACGGTTCTGTGGTACGCCTGCTGTACTCCTTTGTTAGAGAATAGTTCAGCCTTGAATCTGCTGTGAAGGAAGAGACATATTCCGTAAACTTGAGAAGCTCTTCTTCCCTGCAGCCAATTTTGGAGCGATTAATTTTCGGTATGAATGTTAATTTCATTTATTAATCGAATTTTGCAGGCGTTTGGCTGCGAAGACAGAGTGCACAAAGCGAACATCACATGTGAAGTTCTTCTCTGTGTATATCGACTGTAATCCCGAGAGTGAAAGCACGTTATGGTCGTGTGATGCTGTTGTCGAGTTCCGTTTGCTTTCGCAACGTCCCGATGTGCCTCATTTTTCACGACAGGTGAGTTTTCATGGTGCTCCGTGAAGATTCAGTTTGACCAGATGTATGTTGTGGGCACGGCGTGGCATTGCGTGACTTGCACGCTTCCATCCCCGAAGGGAAGCGTTTAATACATCCACTCAGAAATGTATGCCAGTCCAGCGCGAACATTTACCTTTGCTTTGCATTTGTTAGTTCCACATGCAGCCCGAATGTGGTCGAGCACCCTTTCAGCTTCCTTTGCTGGCTCTTTGTTTCTGATTTATTCGCCACTTCTGCTATAAGAT